CTTCGAAACTTACAACGAGAAAAGGAAAGAAGATTTTGAAAGTGCTAAACATAAAAAAATAGTACTTCCACAACATTTTACTTTAAGGACACACAATACTTTCTACTAATTCAATGAAAATATAAGTAGAAATAAATAAATATTTTAGCGATATCAATACAAAAGAATGAGCTGCACAGGAGAATGCGCAGTTTTAATCTGTAATTGCATTTGAGAAAAGTGAAAATTCATCGAGGATCCCATAAATATCATAGGGAAGTCATAGTGCTTATTTGGTTTAACATTTCCAGCAACAACTTATTTACCTCTTCTCATAGTCTTTTTCTTGTTCTTTATGACAAAATATTTCCCGCCCAAGTGTTTTAAAGCTTAAAACATTTTAGTGCAATGTGCATATTTGTTTTTTCCTTCAGTATCCGACGAGTAAATTGAAGCAATCAGGTAGATGGACCACCAGTACCATTTGCAACACAAACACTGCTAAATGACAATTTATTTGCTTCCCATTATCCAAAAATACAAAGCTCAATTTTGTGCTCCTTTTAAATTTGAAGACTATAAAGATATTTAGGCCTAGAAAGTCTTGACCACACATCAGTTATCTGCTTTTCGCTTGCTAAAAACATTTGATAAAAAGTTGCAATAATTGAGAATTATAAATTTTAATTCTATATTATCGAGAGAAATAAAATTGTAAAAAGAAAATAGACACACAAAAACACGCAAAATTTACAGAGACTCGCTTCAATGTGAGACTTCATTTTCTATCGATGATTCACTTTAATGAAAATAAGTTTACAAAAGAAAAATCACATACCCTATTTTCTCTAATATCTTTCTTTTGATGATGATTACAAAACTCTGATGATGGCTCCCTATTTATAAGCAAAATTAGAATAAAATCGAAATTACAAGTATAGATTTCTAAATCATCATTAAATAAAATTTTGGTCCCGACCCTCTACCCAGACACCTTTCTAACCTGACGCTGACCTTACCATGAAGGTCGATCCTCATGCCGACTCCGTACAAGGACAATAATTAGGTTTCAAAACTTAAAATGCCTATGTAATTAAAATAATCAAGCATTATTTTATTGCATACAAGTTAAATCTGACATTCAAATTGCAAAATTGACAAGAATCCCTTTAGTTGGATTTGAAATGTAGAATTTACGAGTTTCTAACCTACTTAAATTATATGTGATTAAAAACAAAATTAATATACTAACACGATTTTTTGTAGTAACTAATTAAGTACACGATTTGTAGATGTGACTAATTCTAATGGAGCATATGAATTGGGCAGGTGGGTTCAAATTATTGGGAA